GTAAATTTTGGTTATTTTAAGTTTTCCATGTTGTCGGATGAAAAAACTTACATTTGTAAATGTTATTAATAAAATGATGATCGGTGGTTATTAAAATCGCTTTATTTCTCGAGTCAAGAAATTAATTTTATTGGATGTGTTTTATTCCTCAGCCACCGCAAATTTAGTCCAGAATCAGCTATTTTCATATTTTAATCTTATCAAAAAAAAAAAGCTGATGGTTGCTTCTCCTTTGGATATATGGTAAATAAGCTTTGTACCCAAATTTGACCTTGGGTTTTCCGTGTTGTAGTAGTCTGCGAATAATTATGTAAAGATGCACTTTGACAAGAGCTTGGAGATTTTTATGTTATGTATTTCAAAAATCCGAGCCATAATCACTAGTCTTGTAACATTTTCCCACCAAATTAAAATACCAATGTGATGTGCACTTGGTAGTATTCTTTATTGTATTTGGTAATTTCTCCTCTTACCATTTTGGACTTTTTCTGGTACCCAATCTTCCATGAAGTTTAAAAAAAAAAAAAAACATTTAACAAATGAGTGTTTCATCTAGAGCAAGAGGAATAGTTTTACAAGATTTTTTTTCCGATATATACACTAATTTATCTATACATGTTTATAGACTTAACTCGAAGAGAAGTAACAAGCAACTTCAACTTTGTATTCCATTTTACTAGATAACTACAAAAGACACTCACAAAACTCACACATTTCAAAATACTTACAGTTTTTGTTGGTGAATGGCTCTCTTACGTCGAGGACAGAACCTCCAATTCTGCCCACCAAAGAGGTGATAATTTCGGCGTAGCATCGTTTGGCGATACTCCTGTGATTTCCCGTAACCATCCAGTAACTTCTCGCATCGTAGGCCTCTCTTTCGGGTCGGTCCTGAGGCATGATTTGATCACTTCACCAATATTCTCAATCTTGTCATCATAAGATTCTAGTGTTGGATCTACCATCTTGGCTAGAGCTTCTCCTCTTACGAAATCAACCAGCCCGCTATCTACTGAGTTGGGTTTGTTAACTGACTCGGGGAGTTTCCCCGTTATCATTTCGAATAATAGTAAGCCGAAGCTATAAACGTTGTCTTCTGGGTTTATGGCTGAGATGCGTGTGTCTACGATTGTGCTGATGCTGGTTTCTGTCTCGAAACTGAAATCTGCAACTTTGACCGCATAATCCTCTGTGAGCTGAAGTGATGATGAGACAAGATTGGTGTGAGCTATGGGTGGATTGAGTTGGTGCATATGGTCAAGGCAATATGCTAAGCCCATTGCAATTCTTAACCGCATTCCCCAGTCCAAGTGTTCTGATTCTTTATCTGCAACAACAAAAAATGCCGATAAACTTTCCCATTTAGATCACAAAGAAACCGAGCGGCGATGTGATGACAATGAATATACTGCGAGTCTGTGCTTACAGTGTAAATGCTCAAAGAGTGACCCGTTTGGAGCATATTCAAAGATCAAGATCCTGGTGAAAGGTTCATTTTCTTCACAGAACCCAAGAAGGTTTACAAAATTCTTATGGTTTATCTTCGATAACATTTCGATCTGAAATTGTGAAACAGAAAACGAATAAGTCGACTATATGGTCATAACACACAAAAACCATAACGAAGATAGGGAATCGGAAAATGTGTTGACGAGGAAAACTACCATACCTTCTTCCTGAACTGAATTTCTGAATTGTTCTTCCAGTCTTTGGCAGACGTTGTAGCGATAGAAGCAACTGCAATCTCCACACCACTTGATAGTGTCCCTTTGAACAACTTCCCAATGGGGCACGATCCAATGACATTACTAAAATCTTCACAGGCAGCTTCAATCTCGGACCTTTTGAGAGCGGGAATACCTGAGTATCAAATCACACATTGTATAAATATACAAGACAATTAGTTGCAGTTATAATTCAAGTAAGTGTACTTTCCAAACATTGTAGAATGCAAAGAAAATTACCAGTTACGAATACTTTCTGAAGTTGTCCGCTAAGACCTGTACGCCAAGGATTCACAGATTTCCCTGCCTTCCTTGTGAAATAGTACACACCGGTCGCTAAGAGGAGGAGAAAAACCGCACCGCCTACGCAGCCAGCCACTACAGGAACAACTACTGAAGATGAACTAGAGCTTCTTGGAGTAGGAGAAATCACAACAAGCA